AAAATAAAAAAGATTGTGCCTTCAGTTACTCAAAGATTCCCTCTCAGCTGCAATGTGATGCACTAGCAACCATGAGTGCTTTTCCTTCAGCATGTTTATCTAAGAACAAGGATATACCAAAGCCAACTTCTGAGTATTTGATATCTTACACAGAGGGAATAAAATAAACCTGACACAATTAAAAACTAGAGCTGCACTGTTGATTTTTGTAAACTTATGAAACCAAACTCTGAAGGTCTTCTCTTCTGGGACTGAAAGGCTGTGAGTCTAAGATTTCATATTTATTACACTGGAAAAGTCAATCCTGACACAAGGTCATTTCACTTTGGCTTCTCTTCGGTCTTTAAAAAAACAGCACCATAATGTACTGGTATTAATCCAAAATATAATTTACACAAATTTCTGATGGCATGGAAGAACCTTTTAGAAAAGCAGCCTGAGGGAGAGCTCCAATTGCAAAAAGGTTTCATTTTATGTCTTTGGTGGTGGAACGTCATTTATTTTGTATAATTGCACAAAGAGAGAGGGATATTTGTCGTCTTGGTTCCCATGCCATCAGTAAAAGGGATCATGACCCTACATGTCTCTACCTCAGTTTTTAATTTTTCATCTTGATTTTCTGGAGGGAAATTTAACCCATCTGGTTTTCCATTTCACCAGGTCGTGAGCCAGGAGAGAAAAAACAACTTGGAAAAACACATACTTACAATCTTCTCTTATTATGTCACCTATACAGAATTATATCATTTTTGTTAACCAAAACAAACATAAGAGACCTCTTACTGCAACAGAAATATGGATGCTGAATATTGTAAGGGCTTTTCCATTTGCAAGTTTTCTCTCTTCCTAGTCTTCATTTGTCAACTGTGTGCTTTCAAAGTAACACTGTATGTCAAGCTTCACATTCAAGTCATGAATTCTTATAAACACAAAGAGTGAAATGCTGGTCCCACTGAAGGGAATGGAAGTTTTGTCACGGACTGCACCAGGCCCAGGATCTTTCCAGAAATATGCAATTAGAGCATTTCCTTACATGAGGGGGATGAAAGCTGGTAACCAAAAAAATAGGAAATGTCTCGTTTACTCTTCTACTCTGCCCAGCCCACAATATCAGATGTGACCTAGAAAGTCAAGTTATCTGTCAGACACTGTGAAAAGCATCTCTGGTGATTCTATGTTTCCAGTTCAAGTAACTACTTGCCAGAAGTTGTGAATTTTCTAATTTTTTTTTAAATAAACTTTTTGCTTGCTTCCTACCCCATGGAAAAGGGTGTGGGCTAGACCAGCCTAGTGTATGTAAAGCAACTAACACACTATTGCAGAATTCAGCAAACATTGCTGACACTTCCTTTTTTAAAAAAAATCTCCATATTTTTCTCCTGTCCCTGAGGTTTAGGAAGGTTTTGGGAGGATTATGTGTGTTACAGTGTGACACATACAGTCAGTTCACGCCAACTATTCTGGCAGATCTCTGCCTGTCAAAATGAACAAGTAGAACGTGCAGTGACTTCGTAAATGGGAAAGAATTTTAGCTGATTCCCATTGGACATGAACTAATACAATTTTTTATTTAACCCCTCCCTACAACCTAACAAAAATTCTTCTCAAATGAGAACTATATATGATTTATTTGTATTACAATCATGCCTAGGGGCTCTAGTAATAGACCAGGGTACTATTATACTAAGCACTGTACAAAGATAATGTGAAAGGTAGTCCTTGCCCCATAGAGATCACCATCACCCTAATAAGTACAAAGCCTGAAGTTTGAAACTACAGCTGAGGTTTCCTATTGCAATGTCTAACATATGAAGTTAATTATTTTTGCAAGTGAGAAAAGTCTGTTTCACTCTTGTTGAACTCAAAATGGTAGAATGGAATCTCACAGTTTACAAACCGTCTCTTTTGGTCACACAGAATCAGTACAAAAGGAAAGTTAAGGTAGTAAAAGTCAGTAAACAGTTTTGGCCAAAAAAAAATCCCCACACTTCTTAAAAATTCAGAAATGTCAGAAAGTTTTATTCAGCCAGAACAATATATTTATGGAGTTTTTTTCATTTTGTGAAGAAAAACAATAACCCAAGTTACTTTCCTAAGATCCTTCAATCTCTACACATCTAACAGATATGGCAAAACCAGCAACTTCAACCAAGAAAATAAGTCACTTCAAACTACAAATATTCCATCAGAAAGCTAATGTATATTTCATTGCAAGCATAAATACCTAATGATTCCCCTGTGTTCCATGAACTTCTCTAAGAAATGGAATTTTATTCTGCAATATCCTGGAAGCAAAGTCTGATATATTTATTTAAAAAAGCATTTTGTTGTTCAAATCTTGTAGCAAGTATTTAAAAAATAGCAACAGAAAATGGTAAGTAAGGCTATATGACTGGTTTCTGATATAATTTCTTTAAACTATGTCACAATCTACAGACTAATCAAATTTATGTGTATTGTGATATACACATGAAGCTCTATTATTTCCCTCCACAGAAAACATACACACAGCTGTTAATTACAGACAAAATCACCACTAAATTACTAATGAAATGGTCAATTAGCATGTAAGACACCCTCACAACATTTGATAAATAGAATGGGAAGCCCAGAGTATAGGGTGAGCTTTAAAAAAAAGCACATCACAAGAAGCTAAAGGGCCACATTCTCATCTAGCATAAATTGATGCAATATCATTGAAGTGGATAGAGTTGCACTGATTTTCATTAGCTGAAAATCTGGCCCACAGTAAGGTACTGAACTCCTCAAGCAGGGCTGCCAACCAGAGGGTTAGGGGGCAAAGCGGGTAATTTCCCCAAAACCAGGATTCCCTCTAAGCTGCATGGCTGTGCACAAGAAATTGCATGTCTTCCCGCCTTGCTCACAGAGCCACACAGCAGCACTCATCACCACTCGCTTTCCAGAAGGTGAGCAGTGGTGGTGGCAGCCTAGTGGGTTCTGGTGGGGCCATGTGGTGGCAGGCAGCTGCTCTGCCACCTTTGCTCCAGCTGTCCCTGCTGGGGTAGCCTCACTGGCCCCAGTTCCAACTACAGCGGACGGGACACTGTGGCCTGGGTGTGGGGGCTGCATGGCAGGCAGCAGCTGCTTTGGTGGTCCAGGCTGGAATTGTATGGTGGGCAACGGCAGCAGCTCTGGCCCGGGCCAGGGATGCAGTGTGGCAGGCAGCAGCAGCAGCTCTGGCAACCAGGACTGGAACCGCTACATGGCGGGAAGTGGCAGCAGCTGCCAGAGCCAGAACTGCCATATGACCCCAAAACTTATTTCCCAGCTCTCAGCTGCAGCACCGGCCAGGTGGGCAGCTGCTAGCCAGCAGCCCTAGCCCCCTCATCCCAGAAGCTGCCAGCTAGCCAGCTGAGAGTGTTGGGCAGCGCAGCCCCAGCTCCCCCCTTGCTCACCGGCTGAAGGAGCCGGCAGCCCAGCCCCAGCTCTTCCTCCCATAAAAATCTGTGGGCTGGCCAGGGGTTGGGCAGCCCAGCATTCCTCCCCTCACGCCAGCAAGCAGCTTCCGAGGGGGCTGGGCAGCCCAGTCCTGGGCCCACCCTCTGCAAGGAACTGCTGGATGTCAATGATGGTGCACAAGACAAAACTCACTCTCCTCACGGATGGGGAATCTTAGAGGGAACAGCCCACGGCCCAGCTATTCAAAGGAGCCTGGGGCTCCTGGTTGCAGTTGCTGCTACTGGGGAAGCAGCAGTGGCTGAGCCATAGGTCCTTTAACACATGCCTCGAGTGCTGGGCCAAATGCTCAGGGTGGCTCTGAGGGCTGCAGAGAGGAAGCGGGCTGCAGTTTGGGTGGTGTTCCCGGCTCCACCCCTTCTGCCCAAGCCTCTGCTCCCTCCGGGAATGTGAAGCCAGGCTCTCCTCCCACCCACCCCAAAAAAGAAAAAAACCACCACCACCACCACCTTGCACTGGGGCCCATGGAGGTTGTCAGCTCCACTGTCCCCAAACACTTTGTCAACATTTGGAAGTTTACACTTGATAAACCAAAACTTTTTTTTTAAACTAAAAGATTTGGTGAACATGAGGAACTTATATTGGTATAACTAAGTTGCTTGGGGTATAGAAAATGCATACCCCTGAGCAACATAGTTATACCAACCTAGCCCCAGGTGTAGACAGCAGTATGTCTACATATGGACTTAACCCTTCAACATAGCTACCTCTTTTCCAAGTACCTACACTGACAGGAGAAGTTCTCCTGTTAGCGTAGACACCATCTTTACTAAGCACTACAGCGGTGGAGCAACACGGCTGCATCTGCTTTACCCTAAGTATAGACAAACCACACAAAACTATTGGCATTTTTCACTTCCATGTTAGCACTATCCTTTAGAGGAAGAGGCCTTGCTACAATAACTGCTAAAATAGGAAGGTTTTCCGGGAAGAGTTGAGAAAGTACATCCTTCCAGAGAAGGGGTGAACAATGTCTCATACTTAGATCTTTTTACAAAGAGTCTCCCAACAAGGGATCAATAATAGATACTGAAATCAGTTATTATTTCAGAAGAAGCATTGTTTCTTCTAATAATCAAGAAGAATATCATTTCTTATTTTTTATTTCCTCAAGCCTCATTCAGTGGTCATTTCATGAAAATTAAATCCTGTTTCCAGACCTTTATGTCTCCAGAACTACACACAGAAATGACTGTCCATTAGACATGGACTCTGTGCCCTCAGGCTTTTTCTAAAGTTCTCTTTAAATTCTAAATCTTAAGTTATGGAGATAATGCAAACCGAGTTACTATCAGTGTTACCAACCCTTTCTAGTAGGATATGGACTATTTATTTATTTATTTATACTTTCTCCTTTTAATCAACTATTATGCTGACCATAATCAATTTCTTAGCTCTGGAGGAAAAATTACAATTATCTGCAATAAAGTAGGTGTGTCTAAAACAGGAGAAATCAATGAAAACCATCTGTCTGACATTCCCACAACATTATGAAATAGACTTTTAATGAACTGCTTTCCTACCAAAGTCTGCCAGCTTTAATTCCCCCGTGTCACTGATCAGAAGGTTCTGTGGTTTCAGGTCCCTGTGCAAAATGTAACGCTGGTGGATGTACGACAATCCTCGCAGCAACTGAAATAAAAATAACTGAAAAAGAGGGGAACAAAAAATTACTTCTGTTAATATTTGTATGCAATACATGGGATTTGTATTTTGTGGTAACCATTTCTCATGACTCCATCATCATACAATTACCCTCCCCTCTAATTCTTAAAACATGATTTCAAATGTAAAAATGAGAAATCTATTTTGCAGGAAACAATCGCTAATCCACAAACTCTACCACATCCCAAACTGAATTTACCTGATTCTAAAAAACAGAAGAACAATATTACAAGCACAAGGTTAAGTTTCTACCAAATTGCAATTATATTTCATTTATCCATATGGCCTTAGTGATTAGGCAATAGCCTGAAAGCAGATGGGTATCTGCCCTATTTCTAGGAAATTTTAATAGAGGTTGGTGATGGGAAAACAGGGCTAGTGAATGGGGGAGAGGATCTAAAAATAAAATATTAAGGATATAAACAATTTCTGCTTGTCCAAAAACTATCTGCACAGGTAGGGTTTCCTCCCAAAAGTTTGATAGGTGCCAGCTGCAGTTTTTTATTTCCCCACCTCCCCTTCATTGAAACTGAGGCTATTTTACACACAACAAATGGTCTTTAAGATAAGTAGCGTCAAATTCAACCTACCAATTTTCCTTTAAAATACATAATCTAAATTTTAAGGGAATAATACAGATTTTACAAGTGACTGAGTGTTTAGCTTTTCTTTTGTGCAATTGTGCAATCTGCTCTTATGGAACAGCTAGATGATTTTTTCCCCAAGATTTGCATGCCTATTCCAATAGGCATCTGCCACTAAAGAATGACAAATCTTACCCCTTATATTAACAAACATTTGTATTGTAGAGTATTGATTTCACAGAGGTTATTTATACGTGCACTTTTTAAGTGTACACAGGTCCTTCCTGATACTATAATGATTAGAATAAATATTCTGGTTCCCACAAGGAAATAGCACATTCCCCTGTATTTTAGATGTGCGAGGTTAAGGCAAGGTCATGGAAGTATTATTCTTTACCTATTGGTCAAGTACCTGGCAAATAAAGATGCCCTCCTGCAAACTTTAGGGATCCATACCACAAACCAAAAGGTTTGAAAAAAGTCAACATTGGCACGTTAATACACACTAATTAGCTAGCAACACAGCCCTTACATTTAAAGACTATTCAAATGAGAAAACATAATAAATGAGGTTATGAAATCAGATTATAAAAGAGAATAAAGTCTGACATGAAAGGAACAGAAATGTCACGTTACTCAAGCTGAAAGAGATTTAATTACATTCCATTTTTTCCCCAAGTACAGACACAATATACTGCATGTTTTGCTATTTAGTCAGGGCACAAAGAGCCATATCAATCAGTTTCTTGCCCAGGTTCAGCTTAACCCATATCAATCAGTTTCTTGCCCAGGTTCATCTTAATGTGCTGAGGAAACATAAGAGCAGTATACTCTAAAAAAAGGATTAAAGTGAGAACTAACATACAAATTCCTTTGTGAATTATGGTTAGCATGGAATTTATGGTACATAGAAACAATTTTTAGGGCAGGAAATAAAACTGACTTGTATTATGCCCTTAAAATTTAGATTATGTATTATCAAATGGCTTCTCAATAATTTTAATAGAATATAAAATTAAGCGAGTTTGCTCAATAATCCAAGAGATTTGACCACAAAGATGAATTTTAAGTACGCAAAGAAATCACAAGCATTTCAGATTATTAGAACACTGTAATACCGAGAATTCATATATAATATCTTAGGAAAACGGTCTTCAAGGCAATGAACTAAAATGCTCTTATGTGCTAAACCCAAGAAAGAAAACAAAGCAACAGAATTCCGCAATGAACTAAATTAAAGACTCTCTGAAGACAGAGTTAAAATAAAAACTCTAGCTTTATTCAGCCCTCAAAACCAGAATGTACCAGTTGTATCACAGAAATCTGGCAGCACAGCTTCACCACATGCCTTAATGCCACAGGCCTTCTCCACCTCCTTCTGAACCCATCTGTACAAGATCCCTGCCCTAGGGAGTCAAAGCCCTAAGATGGAGTTAGTGTCACTTGGCTGACCATTAACTCCCTCCTACATTTCTGATCAGATATCAGCTAGGTTGGCAGGGCTATGCACCACTTATAAGGGTCATCCCACTGGTTTAACCCTCTCCTACTTGTAATATTCCCAATTCTAATGGTCATAGAGTCTCAACATGATGTGTTGTGGGAGACACTCTGAGGTAAAGTGGGTTTCCTCCTAGCTCTGCCAGGAGCTTTCACATTCTTCCATCCATGGAAGCAGAAGGGGACCCTAGATCTATGTGTTTCAGTTCTGCTGTTACGAAAAAGGTAAACAAATCAAGCTCTGTGGATGCTAAATCTTATTGACTTCAATGGGTAGAGGGATCAAGCTGTGCACAGGGGGAAGAGGAGGGGCGGATTTTAGAAAGACAATGAGTGGGACTTGTCCTGACATGTTAATAAAACAAAACATGGTATAAAATAAACCAAGCCACAGGACTGTCAACTACCCTGTGATTATGAGACACTGACATCATGCTGTGCATACAGTGTATAATGAGCACAAACTAAGGTTTTGGTCATTTTGAAACACTGTAGTGGAGTGAAGGAGAGACAGAGAAGTGGCGAGAGAAGAACCGAAGTAAACTCAGTTGAATTTATTTTTATGGTTTCAATGCCAGTCTTTGGAAAGGTCTAATGTCTCAATGATTGATAGTCTTTAAAACCACCCAGTTACAAAGTGTGAAAAGTGGCACTTGAGACCTTTCCTTATTTAATACAGCCATGAAAAAGCACATTTTTGCCATACTAATTACACCGTCTGGACTTTAATCAGAGTAGTTGTTTTCCAAGAGGGGGCTGCATGCCGGTCGCATTAATTCAGGGATATTAAAAGGCATTAGCCATGTTTAAACTATAAGGAGACACACAGACAAAACTAGATCTCTGCTCTCAATCTAAGACCTGGACCATTCTCCCCAGTGCTGACACACAAGGCCTGAAACAATGATCACAGAAGACAATGGGAAGATTTTCATAGATTTCAATGGTTTGCATCCAGCTACCACAGCCCAGCTTTCAGAACCCACAGAGGAAGTTTACTGGATCTAGGTTACATGCTTGTGAAAAGGGTAGAGGCTAAGGGAAGGGGGGGGGGGAGGGGACAGGAATGCAAATCATCCATCTCTAGGCCGGACAAGGTAGTGTAACATGAGGCTTCATTACTTTTTCCACAGGCCATCTATTGGGAGGTTGATCCCCTAAGTAGAGTAGGGCCTTGGAATGCCTTAAGAGACTGCCAGATGCCAGAGCTTGTGCAGATGGATTTGCATATTTACAAGCTAGCCTCGCAATCTTTCTGTGGGAACAAGAGGCCTTTCCTCCAGAGAAGATAACATGGAGGAATTTCTGAACGATTTCTCACATCAAAGCCCCCTTTTGTATTTTATTCCATGAGGGATGATTTGGCCTTAAGCATGTAAGGAGAGCAATGTAGAAGCTTTCGTTCTAAAGAACACACAGAGTAATCCAAATCCTGGCTCCACTTTATACACAGCATGGGCATTCACATGGAGCTGTGCAGCTAAGATGGATCCTACACTCAAAGAGACAAAGATAAGCACCAGGGTGGCCAAACCAGAGCTCTTTTACAATTCAACAATGGCTCACAGAGCCCTCCCCCCACACTCCTATTCTCAGCCTGCCAAATTGTTTGGGGGACCTCTGAGCTTCTGCCCTGTACCAGAGAGGAGGGATAGGGGCTTCTGCCCACAAGAAAGAGAAGTTTCAGGGCTTCAGCACCATGGCAGGTGCCTGATAGCACTTACAGTTTCAGTGAGAGCAGGGGCTAAAACCATGATTCCTGGCAAGCATGCCTCTGGAACAAAAACCCTAAGCTAGTGGCTCTCAAAGTACAGTCCGCAGATGACTAGTGGTCTGTTGCCATCTTACAAGTGGTCCGTGGGAAGGATGCCCCGAAATGGCATAGCTCTAACCGCCACCCCATGGGCCGGGGCCTGGCTGCTCGCTCTCCCTGCCAGCCTGGGGCACACGCAGTGTTCTCTCAACAGCATCTAACCTAGCGATGTTCAATTTAGATTAACTGGCTAATCGAACAGTCAATGCAATTTGCATGGACTATTTGATTAGTTGATAAGCACACCTCCACCTTCGAAGTGCTGCAGGGAGCACGGGGCCAGCGAGGAACTCAAGCAGTCCCACACGGATCCCCTGCTCCCTGCAGTGTTTCAAAGCGGCAGCACTGCATGCAGCCCGGGATCATCTGGGAGTCCAGTCCCCAGCTGGCCCTTGGCTGCACATAGTGTTTCAAAGTGGCAGACCCCAGGCTTCACGTGGCGCTGCCACTTTGAAGCATCCTCTTCTCTCCCCTC